TATATGCTAGAACAGTAATTATTTCTTTGAAATATTCTATTTTTTTTTTTTTGATGTTTTCTTTTTATTTACAAAATTATTAATTTTATTTTATTTTTTTTTAGAAAGGGAATTTTATTTCAAATTATTATGACAAAATGTGATATGGTAGTTTTACCAGATTTAGCACGTCGTCATACTCTTATTAAAGAACGACTAAAAATTTTTAAAAATGGAATTGATCCTCCATTAATGGTATCAGCCAAAAAAGGATCAGGAATTGTAAAATTAAGATTTCTAATTTTGTCTATAGTTGGAGGATTAGAAAGAGCAAGAGAGGTTGCTAATAGAAAAAAGTTGTTTAGATTTGCTAATGTTAAAAGTTGGAGAAATAGTACTTCACGAGATCAACAAAAAAAAGGACCATCATATTATGTTAGATTAAGAAAAGGTCTAAAAAATCCAAGTAAAAATAAAAGGACTGACAGGAAATTCAAGAAGACTTCAAAGGCAAGAAAGTATAAATAATTAAATAATTAATTATATAATAATAATAATATTTTTTTTAAATAAATAAATAACAATTTTATTAAATATTTTAAGTGATCTCTTTATAATTCTTTTTATAATAATTATTATTATTCCTTTCTTAATATCACAGAATCTATATTTTTGAGTAATTCATCTATTTGAATATTAATATTATCTAAAATAAAAATATATAAATTATAATTTTATATAGATATATCTTTATTTATTTGTTATAAAGCAAAATTCTTACCTCTTTGATTTATTATTCTATTTCTACCTATTATTGCAACATTCTTGGTACTAGGTATTCTTAGCCAATCATATTCTACAATAAATCCACATTTTTCAATAATTTTTTGAATATATTCTTGATATGCCTTATACTTACCTGAACTTATTATTTGTTTTTCAAAGGAATATTTTGTGCCAGATAATGCATAAAAACAACAAGGGATTACCATGAATCTAAAAATAAATAAATAAATAAACATATATAATAATTATTCTTGTTAAATAAATATATAAATATCATCTTGGTAAATGAAAAATTACTTTGTATTTTCTGATGATTTTGCTGCAATAATAGGTATCCTGTATTGATTATTTGTATTATTGAAAAATTGAAAGATAAGATATTAAGATATTAATATTAATATTAATATTAAAAATTCAAGATAATCTAAAAATATTACTATTATTTACCAAGGCACAAGTTCATCAGCATGATTTCCAATTATCCAATCAGTTTTTGGATATGTAATCATATTTGGTTGTAATGTTTCAACTATTTTAAAATTGTTGAAAATTTATATATTTAGGATTTGGTTTAATATTTAAATTATTACAACTAACTATTTTTTTTTAATACAAATTAAAAATTAACCTTTGAGAATTGCACCCTTTTCTTCAAATTTATTCCATATTTTCCTTTTTTTCATGTCAATACCAATTCCTTCATATCCTTCAGATGATAATAAATAAGTTAATAAACCATTTCCACATCCCAAATCAACAAAAGACTGTAATCTATAGAAATTAAATTGATATTAAAATTGATATTCTTATTATTTTGAATATAAAATAATTATAAATATATATAAGTTTTATATTTTACTTATTTTGTCCATTCTCTTTTCTTTCTAATTCCCACAAAGAAATCAACCAACTTGCAATTGCAATATCCTCAAATACAAATTTTACAGGATCTGTTTTTTCTGACCAATTTTTAACCAATTCATCAGCATATTTTAATTTAACTTTTTGATACGTTTCCAAATATATTTCTTTTGGAATCAATAAATCATGATGAACTCTTTTTTGGTAACCTTTCTCTGTATTTTGGCACCATTTAAATAATTTTTTAAAAAGTAGTTGATATGCATATTTCTGTATATATCATTTTTTGAAAAATATAATAA